TGAATCAGACGATTAGACGACGATATTAGGAAGATAATAGAATGAAATATTTTTCATGGGAGGCTCTTACCGTCGGTTAAATTCATCCATACGTTGTGCAGTTTTTGCGGTTCCTTGTCCGTATAGTAACTCAAAGGAATGTACCATTTGTAGTTGAAAGGTGATTTTTGATTGGAAATTTCTGTATCATTTTCATTCGGCAAGACGAGAAATCTTTTCTGACTGGCCGTGATGGTATTTCCATCACGGATTATCGTGATCAGAGGAAAACCCATTTGTTGAGTCCACGTATCCATTATGGCCTATGTCAATAGTTTCAATTTTATTAGATATTAAACTCGTCATTACTTAATATTAACGACACTTACTTTAACGTCAAACGTGCGATTGGCGTGTTTAGTGAAAACGCCCCAAAGGTCTTTGGTGTCCGCATTTCCATAAGCGTGACTATTGAGATAATCGTTTAGTCCACTTCTCAAAACGTCTTCGCAAAGGAAACCTTCAAGCATGTTGAGAATCGAGGCACCTTTGCTGTAGCTGATCGTATCGAAGATAGCTTCGATCTCTCTTGGGTCGTTGACATGTATACTGATAGGATGACTACTGGCGAGTGCATCAAGATCTAAGGCAGGTTGCGTTTTGTCAAGAATGAACTGATCCATCATACTCCATTCCGGCGAAATGTGATTGACTCCTTTGTACTCGAAGAAACTGGCCGCTCCTTCGTTCAGCCAAAGGTCGTTCCACCATTTCATCGTAACGAGATTACCGAACCATTGGTGTGCTAATTCGTGGGCAACAATAACGGCAATCCATTCATGTGTAGCAGTCGATGTTTCTTCGGGATCGTACAATATTGCAGTTTCTCGATAAGTAATTAGGCCCCAGTTCTCCATTGCTCCGGCACCAAAATCAGGAATCGCGATCAAATCTGTGAGGGATGTAGGAATAAATGAAAATCCATTGATTCTTTCATGATAAGATCGTTTTACAATGATCATTGTACCTTGTTTAGGCAGTGGATAATGTACTCCAAAGAAAGACTCAAAGTAATCCATTGTACGTGCAGCGATATCCACTGCGTATCTCGCTTGAGGAAGCATCGATTCTGCTGTGTAAACGCTCACAGAAATGTTTCTCTTTGTCATCTCGGAAATCCTCTTAAAATCGCATACAACGAACGCCACCAAATAAGTCGACATTTCGACGGATTGTTGAAAGTCATCTCGAAGCTAAAAATTTCATAGATCTCTTTTAATTATATTCCGAACGAATACGTTGATTAATTTGTAACAGAGATAAGTCATTAGTAATTAGCAGTTCCAAAAATGTTTATTTACTGCAGAAAAAGTAATTTTATATATGATCGATGATTATTTTTAATCGTGATGAATACTTACAAGACCAGTGCCCATATAAAATCCAGCATCCTCCGTATTGACAACAGGCATGTTGCAAAGCGCTATGTGAAATCTATCCCTAAATATGGAGACCTTGAATTTTGCTTTGAACTGCGGTTCGTCGAAACAGGGAAACGCCGATCGTGCATACGTGGGTTCAAAATGAGTCGTTGCCAAGTACCTGATAACCAAAAAACAATACGATTAAATAATTTTGACGAACGATGAGAGACGTGAAACGAGGATCGCCTCGAAGCGCTTTCCGAATCGAAAATGATTACAATTTCGGAGTGACCTCTTTTCTCCATCGGCGGTGACGTAACTGCTGAGATAAAAACCCTCCAGTTCACTCGCCAGCTTTGAAACGAATCTCAGGTGGACCGTGTAATTGCCCCTTTTACGAAATTTGCTCTCTTCCAGTTGGAGATACAATTGCTGGTGCGTCGGGTACTCCAGCAATTTTGCAATTTTCAATCTATGGCCTTTGCGATCTTGGACCATCTGGAATGTAATTGGCAAGGATCGGAAAAATAAATGCTATCGTTCGTTCTCGTGTAGACATTACTTAAATATTTCGTCGTTCTTACCTTTTCATTTATTGTCAAGTTGTTACTATGGAAGACGATAAAATTGGTCTCTTTATCGACGTAAAATTCGATCGTGACCTGTCCTGTAAATCGAAACGACATTATGAATACTTGACGATACAAATCGATTGAATAATTGTCTATCCTAAATAATGTAATAAAAAGAATTATTAAGATTTACCTTTAACTTCTAAGGTGGTAAGATTTGGATGGATGGTAATGTTATACCTAGTAGGATGCACGAATGTAGGTAGTCTGACGTTATTCCATGGGAACACCTGCAAGAGTCATTGTTATAGCCTTGGCTTATCTATAACTACGCACGTCTTGTCTGTAATAAAGCATTACGAACGTATACCATCGTCCATGCTTCTAATACTAAAATATGCATGACCAATAGCAGTGTTCGTATACTTTGCTTTACGAGAAAGAAAGAGAGAGAGAGAGAGAGAGACCCTAGCGATTGATTTCCCGCCAAGCTGTATCATTCGCTTGGCCATTCGATTTTTGTCAAAGACTTTCAAGCGCGTGGATAAATAAATATATTATCATTTAATGAACTACAATATTTGTGAATGTTGAAAATGATTGTTTCAAGAGGAGACAAGATTGAAAAGATAACATTATTAGAATACAAAGAACCATTCGTACCTCCCCATTAGTTGCGATAGGCTCGTTGCTCTCTTCATCGTCTTCGATTTCCATATTGGCCGGCCTTTGTCCAGCACAAGGGCAGTCTGTTAAAACGAATCGGTATGAATAAAAATTATTAATTAACAAATTACAATATCGAATATGATCTAAATACCATTTTGTGGTCCCGCGAAGGCAATGATGAGTGATATGGCGAAAAGTAGCGCGAAAACGACGGTGGCTATGCAAAGTGCTCTTTTTTGTGAGCAAACGATTCCATTGGGCTCGTAAATGCTACGTTTGTGCAATCCAGTGTTGCTGTCTTCTAAAACAAAGGAATTCTACTGAAGAATGCTCGATGATCGAGTCATATGCACGGTTTTTTTCTTCGGTAAAAATATCGACAAAGCAGTTCTCATTTTCTTCCCATTGTTAATCGTCGTTGCTCGCGGAACTCTCGTGAGACTCTTGAGTTTTGAAATGGGGCTACGATGTCGATGAGAAAGAACTTATCGCGGGAAAATTCATATTTTATTTTTGAACGACGCGAATAAAGCCCGCGCGAATTTGTTCGTTCGTGAAAAGAATGTCACCGAAAGGGGTATGATGGTGGTACGAGGGAGAAGCTCGGAATGCCATAAAAACTCTCTTTTTCCAGGCATAAGAGAATTTTTCGCGTACGAACCACATCAAAGTTTCATACTTTCCACTAGCCACTTGACCCGGATTTCGAATTGCTCGACGTCAGTCTACAATGACGTTAATGCGGTTATGCTCAGAATCTTAGAAAACAAACGCATGAGTTGGAACATTACGTTCTGATTTTCCACGAGTTTCAATGGTACTACGATCGCGTTTCAATGCATTAAACGTACGCTTGAATTGAAGTCGTAAGCAATGATACGCGTAGATGAAACGACGTCAACGACGACGGAGTAACTTGTTCGAACTAGTTTCTATGTCGTTATAAGAGCCATTTGAAATCCTTGAAAGGTGCCTTATCATTCCGACCGACTTCCGTTTGAACGGGTCGAGAGCATTCCGCTAGACCTTGCACTAGGTGCAACAAGGACAAAATAATAGTCGAAGAAAAAGAGAAGAGTAGCGAAGGTTGGGTATCATTATGCGGCCGTCAGACAGAGAGAGAGAGAGAGAGAGAGAGAGAGCCACGTTTATCCTAGTCGCTGCCAATAAAGCACTCTCGATAAGCGAACTCATCAATGAAAGTAAAGGATCGGCAGGACGCGTGGGAAGGAGGGAGGGGGATAGGGAGGTAGGGAGAAGCAAGGGGTAGTAGATGTGCGCGCTTTATTTCGAAAGATCGGACAGAAGCTTCCCTCTTATTGATCGTACGCACGTGCTCCTCGTGCAGTCTATTCGCAGCTCGGTAAAGCCGTAAGTGGGCCATCTGGACGGGCAATTCCAAATGAAAAAGAAACACGAGTAAACTCTACTGGATGGTCGAAGAGAAAGAAAGAGAGAAATAGATGTACAAGACATCAACAAATCTTGAGAGCGAGAAAGAGAGAGAGAGAGAGAGAGAAGAGAGAGAGAGAAAGCTGGAAAGAGTATTTGCGTTGAGTTCGGGGATGATCCCTCACCTGTCAAAAAGGCAACGTCGTCCACATCTTGCTCGCTCATCGCGAACCGATTCGGCAGCGATCTCCGATAAACGAGTCCCTTTACCTGACCGTTGTTCGAGGCATATGAAATTTTGATCAGGGGTTCCCTCTGTTCAGCCAGTATAGTCTTCTTTCCTACTGACACCCTGGTCACCTCGTGCTCCAAGGTCAAACGATTGTTCAGGGCTGGCCTCGATCTTCCCCGAAGTTTTATCCTTAGGCTCTTGTACCTTGATTAGTCACTTATTAAGTGATTTGTCCGGATTTATCCGGTTATGAATTGTCACCTCACTGCCAATGATGGAAAGGCGCGAGTTCGAGGAGGCTGCGTTACAATATTATCACGGCGTTCTTTGGGCTCTTGTGTATGGGCGCTCGTTGTACGAGCACGAGCACGAGCACGAGCACGACGAGGGCCAACGACGACACCACCGACACCGACACGCCACGGAAACGCGCGAAAAAACGAGGATGCGCGAGCTCACGAATGAGTAACCGAATGTCCCGACGACGTCGCCGAGTCTATAACGTCCGACGTGCCTTGACATTTCATTGGCATTAAAGCGCGAATATAGCGACTGCGGGTGTTAGGCAGAAATGGCGGCTTTCCAAAGTACCCTGCTGCTGGTGGTACTGGTGCTGCTGCTGCTGCCGGAAGAGCGCTTTCGCGAGGGGGGTGGATTCGTCGTCGTTCGTCTCTACTATTCTCGAGGGTTGGAGGCGTTCTTTCACGGTGGCGCCATCGTCCAAATGTTCTCAACAACGACGAGTAAAGCGGGTTTTCTGTTTCTGTTGATCGTGCTGCTCATGTCGCTGGTATTCTTTTGTGTTTCGAGCTATTGCTTGGTAAAAAGGCTACTCTACACCAAGGGTGCTTCCTTCTATCGACGATTGAGCTTTTGACGAAGACCGCACCTTCTCTCTCTCTCTCTCTCTCTCTCTCTCTCTCTCTTTCTCTCTTTCTATGACTCTTTTTAAACTAACGAGCGGTGCATTTAATCATATTCGAAGTACCCCAATAACTTACTCTCTCGTTGGATTTAATGTAGGTTCTTCTTTGAAAAGTACAAATAAAGCTACGCTCATCGTAATTTTCTCGTTGGCGCACGATTTTGAATTAAAAAGATCTGACTAAAGTTCACTTTTTAATGATACGCTCATAAAAGTCTCTGTATGCACGAGTAAATACTGTGTCTCTTTCCTTTCAGTCAGCTGTTAAGTTAGTAGACCGTTTACATAGCAATCGAGCGAGACGGTACTTTGGTTCTCCGGCAAATGATAAAATACGTGACCGAGAAAGGGACATTTTTTCTTTAAGATTTATGTTGGATTTGGAGGAATAAAATGGAGGTGCAGAAAATGCTGTTTAATTTGCATAATCAACGACGTTCTATTAAAAAAAAAAAAAAAGAAAAAAAGAAAAGAAAAGAAAAAGAGAAAAATCTAAGCAGTATTTCCTAATATTTGTTTCATCAATTTCTTTGAAATATTTCCTTTCTATGGATTCTTATAATCATTTGATTTATCGACGGAAGAATAGTTTCATAAATCAATTCGTAAATTAAATTAACTATCAATCTTGCCATCTAGTATCTTGCAGCTTCATATTATCTAATATTCAAATCCGATTAAATAAACTACATTACTCAATTGTCATGAAAAGAGTATTAACCGAACACAAGGCGAATTGAAATCGAATTCCTAAGTAGACAGTTGAGTATAGCCATTTTATTTCCGACATTCGTATTCGCGGCATGATCTTCGTATTTCGAACATAAACGCTTCGAGCAGCCGAGCAACTAGTGTTCCAATAAAATTGGGAACGTTTACGAAGTCTTTTCACGAAGTTCGTTTCTTGAGACCATCCTTCTGTTCTATTAGAAGGATAGAAACAGAGATAGAGAGAGAAGAGAGGTCAAAAAGGGAGGAAGAGGAAGAAAGTGAGAGAGAAAAAGAAGGAGAAAGTGAGAAGAAAGATAGGAGTGGGAAGGAGGGATTGGGAAAGAGCAAACGATGGGGATAAAAAATGAGAAGCCATGGGAGGGTACAATGCTAAATCAATATAAGAACGTGTTTTAAAGATGCGGAGTCGACTGATTCTTTTAAAAACAAAAAAAAAAAGAGAAAGATTTTTATCTTTTGTACCCGGAGATCGCGATTGTTCAATCGCCGAGAGGCTCTCGAAAGTTCCTTGTTAATACCACCGCAAGCCAGAACACTTCGAATCCACTGCTCTATTTGAGAGATTCGATATATAAAGCCACCAAATGCTGACAATATCACTCTAGAGAGGGTCGCGAAACGAGGTGAGGAGAGAACGTAGAACGGAGAGAAGCAACGCTTTCAGCCCTTCCGCTTCTTCCTCTTTCTCTTTCTCTTTCACTCTCTATCTTTCTCGTTTGCTCTCTGCCCTAAGGCCGTAACCTCACGATAGCTCTAAGAGGGTGGTTTCTTCATAAAGCAAATGGCGAGACACGGGAAATGAAACACTCTTTTCACCAGAGTATCCTTTCTTTCGAAGGAATACCACTGGTCCTGGCAAATGTTTTTCAACGAATCCAAAGACTCACTTTTGTTATGGCATCGTCGTTGAATTAAATTGACGAATTGTATATTTTCGTATATTATACGAATGGGTTAAAGCGATTTCGTTTAAAGAAAATTTTCCAGTTATTTTATGAGATCACGAGAGTGCGTTATAATGTCGATAAAATGTACTGATTTGGCACGTAAAGGAGATAGAACGAAAAGAGAGCTTTCCACTAGATGCCAGAATAGATAGATAAATCAATGTAATTTCAAAGATTCGCCATGAGATACGTATCGTTTCAAAGCTATAAACTTAATCCTTATATGCGTTCTTTGAATTTATACGCGTTTTACGCATCGTAGAAAGAATCGTAAAACTTTTAACATTTACGACCGTTCTTTGAGTTCTCGTTTTCCTTGCCAATCTCGATCGATGATATCTTTCTCTCTTTTTTTTTTTTTTTTTTTTTTTTTTTTTTTATCGAAAGCTTTAAAATATTTGTCTCATATCAAAGATTATCGTGATTATAGTATTAAATATTTTTTTCATTGTTGTTGCTCTTAAATACAACAAATCTATACCATAATCCAATTTGTATCGTAAATACGATTGATAAACGAACAAACGATACGATTATATATAACGTCTTCGTTTATAATCTTTCTTATTCTTTTCTTTTCTTTTTTCTTTTTTTCTTTTTCTCTTTTTTTTTTTTCTTTTTTTTCCGGAAAGACAACTTCACGATTGACGAATAATTTAGTGACTTATTAATGCCCAGATTTCGGATCACCTCGCTGTTCGTAGAATCCGGAGACATTTATAAACGACTGAACTTTTGAACTTGTGACCTCCTCCATCCCCTTAACTCAGTGGTTTCGTCCAGCCTACATTAGGCCCGCGAAGATAACACGGATCTTGATACGCGATATAAATTATTCCAATATCTTCCCCCGTCTCGCATTGCACACGCCAATTCCAACGTAATACATTTCGTTTCTTACGGTCGCTCTGGTGTACGCTTTACGATCGTACCCTGAAAAATTTATGCTCGGTCGAAGGTCGACGTATCCGAAGGCAACGTTCGATACTTTTTTTTTTTTCAAATAAGAATATTATCTATTGCCATTCTATTTTTTTCTTTCTCTTTTTTTTTCTTTTTTATTTATTTATTTATTTTTTTTTTTATTATTTAATAATTGAAAAATAGAGTTTAATCGGTTTTTGACAAGTAATGATTATATAAATCAATCATTTATATAAGAAGTAGAGACAGAAAGTAATCTCACGGGATCGAGAGAAGCATCCATCTCGGAACGTTTAAGTTTGAGTAGATAGCGTCAAGCGTTAGTCACGCGAAGCTTATACGTATGTATATATGATTCCCCTCTCATCCCTCCCCCTCTTCTTCCTATCCGTTGTTTTTCGATAGTAGACATAGTATGAAATTATATAACATAGACGAAGAATGTTCAACGAGCAACGATTTGATAAATTTATCATTATAGTCATAATTTAAAAAGGAAACTTATCGGGATCTTAAGAAAGAAAAAATTGATAATTCGATCTTTGACCTACCTGAAATCACTGGTACTTCCGTGCTATTGGCAGTTCCGTTTTGCCCGGGGCTACGTGAACTGGATGTTCTACCCAGGGGTTCCATTCGGATAACCTCGCTGCTCTCTCGAGTTGACGTCTGCCCCGGCATCCTATTCTTATCTAACGTTCTCTTCTCCGTAGCGACTCCTTTATCTATCCTCGGAGCAGGCAGCGCTCTGCGAATTTCTCGGCGATTCGCATAGCTCGAAGTCGACGACCACGACGACGAAGACGAAGACGTCTTCCTTGTCGTACCAGCGTCGACGTATCGACGCCTTCTTTGAGCCGCGAAATTTTCTCCTCGCGTACTCCCTCCTCCCTTCCATTTAGGACGAGCTCGATCAACGAGAGCTACCGGACGATCCACTTTTCTTGTATTATATATACATCTATTTTCGAACAAACTCTCCTCTAAATTTTGGACCTTGGTCCCTATTTATTAAGTAGGGTGCCTATTTGGCACGAGTGTAAAAAGTTAAAAATTTGGCGAGTGGTAGCAGTCTTTGAGAAACACGGAGGTTTAACGAACTCCTAAGGAATTTTTCTTTCTTTCCTCGAAATCCCTCGAAATCCTTCTAACTGTTCTCTCTTCTTTCCTTTCTTTTCTTCGTGATCCGCGAGAAAATATCGCCGATGGTTGACGACGAGTCATTACGCGTTTCTTTTCCTCTTTGGTCGGACTGATGTGGCGCGATTTCACGAGAGTTCACTCGACGTTCTTTTATCTTTCATCGCGTACCCATCATCATCATCATCATCATTCTTGTCGTCGTCATCGTCATCGTCGTTGTCGTCGTTGTCGTCGTAGTTGTAGTCGTCGTTCTCATCGTCGTTCTTCCTGTTGTTGTCACTACCTTCGCTACTGTCATCCTCGTATTCGGTGTCATCGCATCGTTAATTAACTGGAGCGCCGGTTTACGCATCGTAGGGTAACGTTTTCTTGCCTTTAAGCTAGGTGCCCTCGTTACGCCTGAAACAAGATTGAAAAGGCTGGTTACTCTTGTGTGACGATTAATTAAGCGTTGAAGTTAAAGTAATGTGCGCGTATAACCACGCGCGACCACCAATCCGGTTTGTTGCGTAGTTAAAAGGGTGTCACTTGGTAGGGGAAAACAAAAATAACATCAGAAGTTCTTTAAATACGATCGATTCTACCTCCTTGTTTCTTTTTCTTCTTCTTCTTTTACTACTACTACTACTACTACTACTACTACTACTACTACTACTACTACTACTACTACTACTACTACTACTACTACTACTGCTACTATTACTACTACTACTACTACTATTACTACTACTACTACCACTATTACTACTACTACTACTACTACTACTACTACTACTACTACTACTACTACTATTACTACTACTTTTTTATCTTTTTTCTTTTTTTACCTCTCCTTCTTAACTGACTCCTTCGCTTCTGCTATAGGACGCTTTTCGATTGAGATGCGAATTCAACGGATGTTGCTAATTCGAGAAAAGCAACTCACTATTTTACGTGAATCTCTACGTATATCTATCAAAATACATGTATGATATATATATACATTTATTTATTTATTTATTTATTTATTTATTTATTTATTTATTTATTTATTTATTTATTTATAAATATTTTAACATGTGATTAACCCGCTTGTCTTGGAAATTTTATTTATAACCCATCGAATGTTTCTCCGAACTTTCCCGTAAGCATTTGGTATTTGATATCCATTAAAAGTGTCACGGCAACCTTAAGAAGCATTTACGAGGATAAAACGATCGTGTGCTTTCATTAGCTCGGTATCGAATTCACTTCGACCCCCTTTTCTCGATATAATAAAGACATACGACACCGATGTGGGATTTTCTACGTTATACTATGTGTTACACGATTTACGAGCTATCATATAACTACATATATTTTCATATATAAAAAAGATAATGGAACGAGGTACATATATATGGAACACATTATCAAATCGTTCCCTTGTTCTAACCGATACCGTTCGAAGTAAAATTTTCTACCGTTTATGATATCCGCTTCAATACAGAGAAAATCGATTTTCGAAGGCTTACGGGAGTTAATACGTTCTCGACTGAGAAAGAAAGACTTTTCCATTTTACGAGATTTTTGACGAGAATCATCGTTACCGCCTATCATATTGATTTTTTTTTTTTTTTTTTTTTTTCTTTATCGACGAAACGAATTCGTTTCTAAACGATGATTCTTCGACTTTATATCTACTGGGAATATCTATCTATCGTCGTTCGTTTCCAATTAATAACAAGTTACAACCTACAGAAAATTATTTGGGAAAGGATATATTCAGGGAATATCGATTTTCGCGCGACATAACTATGGTTACGCGCGAGTGAACGTTTTCACCCCAGTAAAGGAAACGAGAAACGAAATCGAATGAAAGATCACACAGAACGTAGAAAAAGAGAGAGAAAGAGAAATGTCTTTTTTTTATTTTTACCTTTTTTATTTATTTTCTATTAACAAATAACAGATTGCACGCAAAAGATCTTTCAAAAGACTTTGCTCGAAATAATTTGTAAATTATATCAATGTTTTCGTTTTATAGCAACTGAAATTTTTAAATATTAATGCTTTCCTGTATTATACTCATGAATTGTACTTTACACTGTACGTTTCATGTACTACATAAAAAGTACTTTAATGTATAAATTTTAATTAATTTAATGATATTTTAATTATTAACGTGCCTATTATTTGTATTAATAATCGATTAATGGTACTTTTTTTTTCTTTTTTTACAATTTTAGCGTAGGCAATTCACAGCCCGATATGAATTTTTTATTTTCTATTTTAGTTCCTTTGTTAGCGAAAGGTTAATACATGAAACAAAGCAAATTATTTCTGACGTTTTATCTGCTTTGTCATGCTTTCAAAATAAATAGTATACATATGCGGAAAGTATTCATTATTATTTTTTTTTTCTGCATATGAGAAATAAATCATGATAAAAAGAAATTATTTAGCCTATGAAGTTAATAAAATTTAAAGAATTTCTCATACCAGTCTCATCGTTAATAATCGAAATGCTCATAACATTACGAACAAATGTCTCTCTCCATAGACGTCAATTTCTCCAAAGACAAAGATGTAATTACGCGCATTCGCGGTAAACATGACGTACACTTAAACGTAATCTTAATCGCAGGGGTGACCGCTGTATATTTCGTTCATTAATGTCATGGTAATCTTATACATACATGTTCTTAAGTAGGAGTCATTTCGTAATCGCTTTTTCATGTAAATGCATTATGCAACATGATAAACTTGTCTTTTTATATATGATAAAAATCAAGAACATTACACATTATTTCGACCTTAAACAACGCATTTCTCTATCGCATGTACTTCTTTTTTGATAACAAAATCATGCACATAATTATATAACACAATTGTCTATATCATTTTATTAGAAAATCATATGTATATATATATATTTTCGTTGTACGCGGAAGTGGGTACAAAAAAAAAATATTATCGTATTGCGTTTGAGAAAGAAATTCTAAAATAATTAATTCCATTAAAGCGTTCGATTTGTCCAACGCTTCCTCATAAAATAAATAAATTTATTATTGAAATTGAAAATTAAATTAAATTTGCATAATCCCGAGTATATCAATGAACATTAATGAAGCATTTAAATCAGTAATTTATTTTCCGATTGTTACCAAAAGGTACGATTCATAGAATTTTTCGGAATGTAATTGTTCAAGTCAAAAATATTTCGTACTATTAATCTTCGCGGCCGATCATCGCGCGACTTATTCCATTAGAAACATAAGGTTTTCGTTAATTAACGTCGTTTAATCGTCGCATATCGAATTAACGAAAAAGAAGAAGAAAAAAAAAAAACATTTCTATCCCATTGGCGCTCGATTCCTCGTTGTTTCACGCACATTGGCGCACCTGGTGCGCGCGTGGTGCGTACAACGAACGTTTCTCGCGATGGTGCGTTGACCCTGCCCTGTCTCCCGCGTCAGAAATTCTCGCCGAAAAAAAAAGAAAATTTTTTTATTGTCGACAGATAAGCCAATGGAAACCTTGAAAAAAATATTACGTTCTCTACGCGGAAGTAACGATAAACGAAAATGCATAATAGAACATAAAAAGAACATAATAATAATTATCGCAAAGATATAGGGAGGGAGAGAAAAAGAGAGAAAGAAAGAAAGAGAGATAGAGAGAGAGAGAGAGAGAGAGAGGGACAAAGGAAAGATAACGCACCTGTTTTTCTTGTGATTTTCCAAGTCCAGCAACGAGCAACAGGAAGACAATTAGTCGATCAAACGAAGTCACTCGTTCCGTTCTCACTGTATCTATTTTTCTTGTCCACTGTATTATTCTTCGATATCATACGAAAAGAAAAATCCAGGTAATCTTATTCAATGAGTCTAAAAGTGAGTGCATTGTAGCTTTGATTATAGAATCTTTCGTGTATGTAACGAGACGTGCGAATGGACGGACGGACGAACGTACATTACGTATAATTACTCATGAAAGAAAGAACGAAGAAAAGAAGGGACAAAAATAAAACAAACAAAAAAAGAAATTAGAAAGAAATGAAACAATGAGCGAAAGGGAAAGCTTTTAACGCTTTCCTCTCCTTCTTGTATCGCAAACGTACACGACGATGCGCACCGGCGTCCTCGACGAATACAACCGAGCCGTGGTTCGAATGGAACTGAAAGGAGCGAGAGAGAACGTTTGAGAATTGAGCGTGGCTGAATTTCCGGACGCAGGGAGGCGCGCCGGTCAGTATCAGCCACAGGTTGCGCTCCTCTCGTTCACGCAGGCCAGGCATCTTCGTGGCCTGATCCTTCGAAAGGAGGGGTTGGTATGCGCACCCGAAGTCCTTCCAATCTCTCGCTAGATCGAGATATGCGCCTGACTAAAAACCTATCCCGTTTCTACTTGCCCTTTCTCCTATCCTTTCCTTTCTCTTCATTTCCTTTCCCCTACTTCTCCTTTCCTTCCGACTCCTCCCCAACAACCCTCTCAATGACTATGAGAAATTCTTCGATCGCTTTTTCGTTCTTCACACTCCCGTATTATCGACTTTTTCAACCCCTTTTTCATTCCTCTAAAACCATTTATCGCGTCTCCTCATTAAAACTGAAGATCGAATTTTGATGTGACCACCAATGTAACCTTTCAATATTGAACTCTATCTCGACACATTATTCTACTCATATTGGAGAATTGATCGAACAGCATTGATTTATAATTGGGAAGAATAACGATGAAATATGATAGATCATTAGATTTAATTAACTTTCATTTCATGTACGATAATTATGATAATTATTTCTTACGATATATGCGTCTATGTATATCCATCTATATATATATATATATATATATATATATATATATCTAAATATATACATATATATATATATGTATATATATATATATATCTAAATATGTACATATATATATATATATGTATATAGATACGTTATCTTGTTATCGATAACCAGTACTTCGCTCCGTAGATACAGAATTTACCTTAAAGAAATTTCTGACATCGTCCCAATATGCCAAGATGGATTCGGTGCGTCCTAAAATTATTAGTTCATTCATTTTTTTTAGATAACGAAAACGTTGTTAATACACTTTTTTTTTTTCAGATGAGTTTTCACGGTGGTGTTAGCGAAACGATTCTGTTCAAAGGATGGCGAACAACCGATTGGATTGGCATGGGTGGTTCCATGATCGGTATTATTCTGCTTACGATGATTTACGAAGGGCTAAAAAGTTATCGGTAAGTCACGTGATATTACGATTCAAAAAATTTTAATCCCTTTGTAAAATGTTTTCTTTCTTATTATTTACAGTGATCATCTTTTTAATTATACAGCATTGGTGAGCAAGAATATAAAAAAGACGAGGATGTAAGTACTTTATAATTATTTTAGTTTATGATAATAACAAACGATCATTTCTCGTATTTCAGACAGATGATCTTTTCTATGGTTCATCTAGTTCAAGTGATATTACATGTTTGCCAGATGATAATAGGATATTTTTTAATGCTCATATTTATGACTTTTAATGTCTGGTTGTGCATCGCCGTGGTAATTGGAACAGCGCTCGGTTATTGGCTCTTCTCTTGGAAAAAACTAAACAGCGACAATGTAGATTGTTGTTCGTGATAAAACGATTATTTTCTAATTAGCACCATAATTTAATTGCAATTATTTCTATTAATTATTATTTATATTATTTCATTATTATGTAATGTTATTAAATATTAATAATTCATTTAATAATACACTTTAATTTTCTAATATTATCGATAGAAGCATTAATAAGATTAATGATAAAACAATACAATAATAATAATAATAATAATAATAATAATAATAATAATAATAATAATAATAATAATATATTTATATATAATGTACGTATTTATTTTTTATAAATTAGTTTATTGTTTAGGAAATATTATCTGAAAATAAAATTAATAAAAAAAATATATATATCTATATTTATTGTTTCATTTACTGCATACATAAATAGAATATCTGATATAAAATATTATGAAAATATTTGTACGTATCAACTGTCTTTATCTAATCGGTTATTTTCCCAGTATTAA